AAAAAAAAACGAAGAATTAAAACAGCTGTTTTCTCATTTAACTTTCTTCCAAAGCGAACATTAGCTCCCGCGATCTGTAAGACTGCTGGTCAGCAGGTTTAAACAACAGGATTTTCGTTCTGTGTTCTATAAAATAAGAACAACTCCATTTTCAAATCAAAAAACGTCAGCTTTACAAAAACTGTAGTAGCTCTAACGATATAACTAAGTAAGGAAATGGTGTCGTTGAATAAAAAGTTTCAGAATTCTCACTTAATTTATGCACTTCAAATTTTCGTGACAATAAATCATTCATTATTTTTGAAAATCATCATACGAACTAAAGGTGACGCATAAATTAGTGGAATAAAGTATTTTCTTGGTTACTTTTACTGATACATCCATACAATTCTAATGCATGATTTACTGACTAATACCAAACTGTGTTATTACTGATATAGAGGATATTACATGGGCGCGCGGGGATATGGATTTTATCTTTGAGTGTTGAAAAGATCTCTGTCTCGAGCGATCGCAGTGAATGAGTGAGAGATTTTCAACACGAGAAGATAAAATTCGTATCTCCAAGCGGCCATGTAATATTCTGTTTATCATATAATTACACATGAAAGCAAATGATGTCGGAAAATACCCTTTTTTAATTCCACTATATAGAGAAACCTCGACTGTGTTATTTTCACTAGTGAAAACATCTTTTCGAAATCGAGAAATATAGGTATTTCATAGATAATTATATCAGTAATAAAAAAGAATTAAGCAATTGGACTGACTCAGTGGTTGGTTCCGACTGCAAATCACTAAGCAGTTCCATTTTCAAGGTCATGGCAAGGAAGTTTATATTCTGTATTTTCTTCAACTTTGTCACATTGATATAGTTGTAAAAAAAGTGATACCGTAAAAAAATAAACATACAAGACGTCAGCCTTCACCTACATTTTCACGGTGTTAAAATTATCTTTTTTGCACAACTATTTCTTTAGAAACACCGATGTTTTCCAACATATTAATATAGTTGAATAGGGATAAATAAAACTTAGACCAACTGGTGGTTCATGCAATTGACTGTACGTTAGAGACAAAGASTGTATGCAGCTATACATTCAAAACAGTCAATTATTCTGTAATTTGCTGCACATTCATGCTATAACATAATTAGTTGATCAACTGAGCAACACATCTTTTTGACTGAAAATAATATTGTTATCAACATTTCCCTTCCTAATTCAAAGTTGGTATGAGTACCAAAACCTCGAAATCCGAGATTTTAATTTTTTTTGCAAGACTAAACTAGCCTGCATGAAGATCATTTTGAAAGAGTTGTATAAGTGATCAATCGCGAGCGAGACGTCTCCTTAACAATGACAAGGGAACTTTCACGGGCGGGGTGGGGTTGAGGTGTAYGGACGGGGACCCTTGTCGACCCTATATTCAAGACAGCAAAATCGTGAAATTCCGTTCCTTATTCAAGAGAAATAGGTAAATAGACCCTATCCAAATTATTGAGGCCTTGATATAAACAAGGTAACGATCCCTTAAATGATGTCAATATGTCATTGTTTTTTCATTTTGACATTATAGTCTACTTGATAAATATTAACAGACCCTGTATAAGACATGGAAAACATAGAAGAGTACACCCCTATTCAAGACAACTGAAGGCAAATTGTATACCCGGTACCCGGGATTGTATACCCGGGAATTGTTAAACAAACTGCGCTCTCGAGTTCCTTTTCATTAATGCTATATRTATATTATATATTGAAGTTTATTCTTTGATTGTTTTTTTTTCAAATGTGTTATAAATAGTATTCTAAAGAAGACAGTGTTATATCGTTGTTTTTTATCGTTTTTATATCGTTTAAAAACTCTTCAACATCTACATGAGTTAATGTTGCTGAACAAAGTCTTCCTGTTCAGCTAGATAGCCATAAGTTGCAAATTGACTTGAAATAACAAGACCAAGGCATAGTTCATTATATTAATTATACAATCATTTATTCACATGTCAAGTCTCACATCTAAAAGACGTTGCATTCAGTTTAAAAGAACATGTCAATAATTTCATTAACCTTGGTGATTATTGTATAGTTTACAAACTGTGTTTAATATTCATCTATGAGCTTCGTCGGTCTAAAGCCACTTTGAATGTTTTGTTAGAAGAGCATTTCAACAAACAGCGCAAAATTAAGTTATTAATCTCACTAAATACGAAAGATTATTATCATTCTTTGAAATAAATATGCCTCCTGAAATGCTTTGACAACGTGATCACTGGAAGTTTTGTTCGGTTGCGTTTAGCGCGTTCTCACTACAGATCCCATTCTCTCAACTGTTTGAGTCTTTCGATTCCCAAGTTGAATTTGACAAAAAACGATTCATCAACAACCAGAACAATATACATTATAAAACGCAAAATATCATCTATCTTTGAACACTACACCTGTAAACTACAAAGTTACAGATCAAGATTTTTTTCCGACGCAGTTTTTCAGAATTATAAAGAACTGATCTTCTATATTCATATCATTATCTACAGCATCTAGTCCTTAACACAGCGAAAAACAGAAAAAAACTATAAAACAGCTAGAAAAGTCTTGTGCCTGAAACGTGGTCATATGTTTATGCTATGATGTGCATTCAACAAGGTAATTTGTTGAAAAAAATACTACTTAATTTCGCGATGCTTTCAAATGTAATTTCTGCTCTTGTGTTAGAATAAAATATAGCTCAGTCAAAACTTGCAAAGATTGAATTAGATSGAAAGACGCCAACCAATAGATAATTTACAGAATTCGGCTACTGGCTTGAAAACCAGACGTTTGCATTAATTGACAGCTTGTTTTTTAAGCTCCACCACGACGTCTTGGTCAGGCATAAATAAGGTTGGTGCAATTGAATCAGAAACAGTTTTGCTGCTTCGCTGATAGAGCCAGACACAAGAGCTGCACCAAGATGAATAACTCTTCACTGATTCCAAACAACGCTACTGACAACAGCTCAGGATATTATTGCAAGTACGAACCTGACACAGAGCTAGAAAATAATGCAAAACGCATCGCTGTGATACTGTTGATACCATTGGGACTTGCAGGAAACATCTTTGTCATAGTACTCGCTATGAAATACACAGTACGCAAGAACCTGCATCATTTGATCATCAACATGGCCGTGTCAGATACTCTTTTCATTCTTATCAATCTGACAGAAGATATTGGCTGGCTATCGAACTACAAATTATCTTTAAAATATCCTGATGGTATCCTTGGTGATATTTTCTGCAAGGCTCAGGTTTTTCTTAGCCAAGTCTCATATAGAGTCTCCTTGGTTACTCTTTTGATAATCAGCATCGAACGATTCAGAGCAACAAGAAAAACATTGCAAAGGTCACATGCTTACACATTAAGACAACGCCTTGCAGTAATCGGTATCTCCTGGTTGATTCCTATGACATTGCAGTCTTACAATTTGTATTACSTTATTTTGTCAGAAAGGGGGCATTGTACTTTTATGGAGTATAAAGTTTATTYTAAATTTGCTTCGATCTTTTTATGTTTGGACGTTATTTTTATGATTGTAATATWCGCACTTAGTATTTCAACAATAAGACGACTGTCCAGACCTCTTGCCATYCRCGCCCATCTCAACCAAGAACAAAGAAAAGCTCGAGCTCGTCGAACACAAGCAGCCGTACGGATGGTTMYTGCATCCGTACTGCTGTATACGTGTTGTTGGCTTCCAAGTTTTATCTTTAATATTGTTCTTTTGAACGTGGATGTTTGGGGTAATACATGGATTGTCCCAGTCTGTATAGACCGCAGGTCACTTGTGTTTATCATCGTTTTTTTCTTCCCTCTTGTCAACAGTTGTTTCAGTCCGTTTATTTATATCATATTTCTGTCTGACTTTCGAGAAGGAGCAAGGAAGGTACTGTGTAGAAAAACCGACAGAAACGAGAACAGAAGAAACTCAATGGAACTGCGAGAAATGGCAAACAATCCGACATTAGAGCCTGAGGCGAGAAGAAGAAGAAGATTTTCCAATGACGAAGAAGAGCAACAAGTCTAAAATATAACTAGTGACGTGTTTACCAAGCAATACAATAGACTGAGATCCTGAGAGCAACGATGTTGATATTCAGGAACTTGATAAAGCTGTTAACGAAGTAATCGTAGAATGCAAGTTACGTTATAAAAAAACCATGAGCGATGCAAACGGAACGTGAATATGCATAACGGAAGAACTTAAAACTCGGCGCTATTGAAGGAGATC